GGGCCTCATCTGCCACAGTGTAGGGGCCTAGGAAGAGGCAGGAACTTACCTGAGAACAGGAGAGGCCACATTCCCGCAATCCTGGGGATGGCCAGGCTCTGGAAGATGCCCCAGGTCAGGCCGAGGAACTCAAGTACTTGCCCAGCCAGCATCTGGCTGTGCATTGACAGCTCTCACTGGAGACTGTGGACGTGAGCAGGGCAAGTTTGCAAGGTGCCCTGTGGCAGCGTCTCCTGGCTGACCCTGTGGCTCCAGCCCCAAAGACAAACAGAGGAGAGAAGGCTGCTCCTCACAGCAGGAGCAAGTGGACACACCCCTCCTGGCAAAACAGGGCTCCCTTTGCTGACAGCAGCCCGGAGACCTTCCACTGCCTGGGGCCTTGAGACTGTGGCCAGACACTTGTGGAGTTTCTACGTTTCCAAAGGAAGCATCCAGAAACCTTGAGGTCTTTGGAATCCCATAACACCCTAATGGGGTTCCCCACGGGGTGGCCACTGGAGCAGAGATAGCTCCAGGATAGTGGGATCAAGGCATCGCCTGTGTGCACCCCCTTCAGGCGTTCGTGAGGCTGGGACAGTAGACAAGGGCCCTGGAAAGCTGGCTGGGCTGGCAAAAGGGGACAGAATCTGTCTTGGGCACTGGTACCCCAGAGCCCCTGGCTTCAGCCCCGGCCTCTAAGGGAGAGCCCTCTCCTGGGACCTGAGACTCCACCCCAAGTCCTCAGCCCTCGCCTCCCCTCCAGATGCAAGAAGCCACCCCCCGGCTCGGTCCTCACTGTGAGGTCCTCCACTCCAGAGGGCAGCCCCCAAGGCTGGGAACTCTGGGGCTCGGCTTCTGCTCAGGCAGCTGTTCTGAGCCCTCTTCTTACCTGGAGCATCCAATGCGTAGGAAAGTTTTTGGGCAGAAGCTCACTGCCTCCCATTTGCCTCCAGCCGGGGCAGGGGGTTAGAGAGAACCAGGGTGTGGTTCTGGGTGACCTGGCTCTTCTCTTCCTGGACAGGCCCAGGCCAAGGCCCAGGCTCCCTGTGTCCAGCCCAATCTCTATGTTTCGGCAGCACAAAAGCTCCTGCCTCTGTCTCTGGGAGGGCACTGCCCCACGTGTGTGTGCGTGCACGTGTGTTCGTATGTGTGTGTGCACACGCGTCTGTGTGTGTGTGGTGGGGGAAGGAGGGAGTGGATAGCTGGGGTGTTCTGCCTGGAATACCCACAGGACCCCCCCAAGTGTGGAGAGCGGCACCACCCCCAGACTGGGAGAGGCCATGGGCCTCACACCGTGGGCTCGGGGGAGCGTCAGGAGGGAGCTTGGGAAGAAAGCTCTGGGGCTGGGTCCCAGGGGAGGAAAGGCAGCAGGGGCCTGCCATGGCTATGAACTCCCCCTTCCCTTCTGCCACCACCCACTGCCCACCTCCCTGCCTTCTGGGCCAGCACCTTGGCCCTGCCCCACCTCCATGGGCTAGAACTTATGCAGTCACTGCTGGGCAGGGTCCATGGGGCTGAGCACACTTCGCCCACAGTGTGCCTGTGGCCATGGCACCTTGCAGAGTGCCCAGTGCTGGCCTCCACACCACAGCGTGGTCAGCAGGCAGGTACGTTTGGGGGTGGCCAAGGATGGTCTCTGTCACCCACTGTCCCATGCTGGCTGGGCTGTAAGACAGATACCGCAGCTGGGCCTCGCCCGTCAGCCTGGCACCCAGCCCTCCTTATACCGGGGGACTGCTGAACCATGGCAGGTGTCCCAGGCGACGTCCATGGGCATGGCCAGCAGGATCCTTGAGAAAGGACAAGTGTCCCTCCCGCCCCCGACCCCTCAAACCCCAATCTCTTTGTCTCCAGGCCTCACTGGGACAGGGCCCCACCATGACAGGCAGTTGCCTGAAGGCGTCCTCCCAGCACCATGATGCAGGAAGGGGCTGCAGGCATCCAGTAGCCAGTGACCTCCTGTGGGGACAGCCCAGGGGGTGTGGCTGGTGCTGGTCCCAAGGCCCAGGAAGGATGGTGAAGCCAGGCCCTTGCCCTGGCCCAGCCACCCTCTCCAACCCGAGGACAGGAGCTCTGGCTCTGGCTCTGAGGGCTGCGGGATTGGCCCCGCTCAGTATCCACGAAGAGCCAGGCCACCGGCTCACAGGCAGGCCCCAGCCACCTCCTGGACGAGGCCTGGGGTGGCAGGGGGAGTCTTTCCATGTCTGGGTCTCCAGGGCAGCATGGCCACACGGCCCACTGACCTCCTGTATGCCAAGAAGCCCACTGCAAATGGATCGCACGGTCCAACTCTGGGGTCTCCCTCAGCGCCCACGCTGGGCACCAGATGGGAGGAAACGCGGGTGGGAGAGCCTGGGCGGTGCTGAGACTTGGACAAACGTGGGATGAACGAACCAGCGTCCGCCTGGGACCCCAGGGCTGGTGCCTTCCCCAGGGTGTCTTGGATGGGCAGGAGCAGGCGAGGGGATGCCGGGCGCAGGGCACCCAGGAAAACCAGCGAGGACGCGGGTTCTCTGCAACAGCGCCGTGTTCTCGGCCTCAGCTCCGCGCAGGTTTCCACGGACACGCGCCTGGCTCTGGGTCGTCGTCCTGGTCCCCGCGTGGGTCCCGGCTCACGGGTTCCTTGGGCTGCAGCTCCGCCCACGCAGCGGCACGAAGGACGCGCCCTGCAGGACCGCGGCGCGAAACGAGAGGTGGGGAAACTGTGGCCCGCGGGACACAAGGCAAGGCGGCGCTCGGGGGTCCCCCTGCAGCCCTGGGGAGAGACGGGTGCTGAGACCGCGGGAGTCTGCCAGGCATCCAGTAGCGCCTCCCTCCGCCCGACTGCTCCCGCCCCCTGGGAGCGCTGGGACCCTCCACCCCGACAGCGCCTTCTTCCACCTGCGGTCGCGCCCCGAGCCCTCCCCAACAACGACCCACCACAGCTCGTCCAGCCCCATGACGTCCGACACCCCCGGGACCTCTGGACGGCGTCCAAGATGCTGCGCCCACACCCGGTGACCCTCACGCCAGGCCACAGACCCCTGAATCCTCGCCCACGGCCTCCCTGGCCCCAGCTCACCCCCCGACCACGCCCCTGGCTTCATCCCCGCGCCCGTGGGTCCCTCAGTCCACACCCATCAACAGGCGATGCCCACGCCCCTCAAGGCCACGCCCCAGGCAGGCCCCTCAGGGGCATCTCACCACCTGCCAGAGCAGCCCAGGGGAAAGTCCAGCCCCAGGTGGCTCCCAACTCGCTCCTGCATGGAGCCCACTTGCTTCCCCCAGCTTTCAGAAAACCAAGACCTCTACTCAAATGCCGGCCGGGCAGGCGCACGCCTGTAATCCCAGCACTTTGGGAGGCTGAGGTGGGGGTGGGGGTGGGCGCGGATCACCGGGTCACGAGTTCGAGACCAGCTTGGCCAGCATGGTGAAACCCCATCTCTACTAAATATGCCAAAAATTAGCCGGGTGTAGTGGTAGGCGCTTGTAGTCCTAGCTACTCAGGAGTCTGAGGCAGGAGAATCGCTTGAACCCCAGAGGCAGAGGTAGCAGTGAGCTGAGATCACACCATTGCACTCCAGCCTGGGCAATAAGAGCAAAACTACTTCTCAAATATAAATTAAAAACGTGGGCAGGGGGTCAGGGGTGGGGCATCACACCCCTGGGGTGAAGGCTCTGTGGATGTGGAGGTCCCCTTCCTCACCCTGCCCAACGCCCCTCCACCTGGCCCCTCACCCCAGAGGGGGACTCCAACTCTGCCTCTCCCAGCCCTCCTTGAGGTGAGTCCTGCCTAGAAGGACCCAACCAGCCGGGGGATTCGGAGAAAAGCAGCCCCCACCCCGACTCCTGCGCTGCTGTGCCTGGGCTCAGGTTCAGATGCATGGTGCTGAGCTGGGCCGGACCAAGTGGGGGGTAGGCAAAGGGCAGTGCCTGCAGATGAGGGCCAGCAGCTGGGGCAGCCCCCCAGAGTCCCAGGGCAGGTCAGCGGCTGTACAAGTCAGTAGGGAGGCGGGAGTGTCGAGGCTGAGGGTGTTCCTGTCCCCGTGAGAGGCTGCAGCTGGTGCAGGCTATCTGGGCACACTGGCACCTTAGAGCTGCAGGAGGGACTTAGCCTCCTATGGGACAGGTGGCATCTCGTGAGTGGAGTCCCAGCCCCTGAACCTCAGTGGGAATCAGGAGGCGGCAACACCTGCGTGCTGTCCTAGAGACCCCTCATAAAGACCCCATCATGCCCTCGTAAAGAGCTCACCACGCCCTCTTAGACACCCCACCGACCCTCGTAAAGAGCCCACCACGCCCTAGTCGAGACCCTGCTGCGCCCTCCTATAGACCCTGCTGCATCCTCCTAGACACCCAACTTCGCCCTCCCACAGACCCTGCCATGCCCTCCTAGAGACCCCGCCGCGCCCTCCTAGAGACCCCGCCGCGCCCTCATAAAGAGCCCAACACACCCTCGTAAAGAGCCCACCGCCCCCTCGTAGAGACCCTGCCGCGCCCGCCTATAGGCCCCACTACACCCTCCTAGACACCGGACCTAGCCCTCCTACAGACCCCGCCGCGCCCTCGTAGAGACCCCGCCGCGCCCTCGTAAAGAGCCCACCGCACCCTCGTAGAGACCCCACCACGCTCTCCTAGAGACCCCGCCGTGCCCTCGTAGAGACCCCATCGTGCCCTCCTAGAAACCCCATCGCCCCCTCATAAAAACCCTCAAGCGGGAGAAACAGGTGAAGCTGCCTACTGGCCAGCAGCGTCCCAGCCCCACATCCTTCTCAGCTACTCTGAGGCCAAGAGCAGCCAGTGGCAGCCCCTTAATTCTGAAGGTTTAGCCAAGGCTCAGAAGAGCCCAATAGGAGCCAGGCATGGTGGCTCCACCTGTAACCTCAGCCCCTCAGAGCCTTCAGAAAACCAGACGCAAAAGCTCAGCGGTCACTTTCATCACTTCGCTCAGCCAGGGAGTTTGTGCTGTTCATGGCGTGGTTCAAGGGCTGAGCTCAAATCCTCCTGACCCGCACCACACCCCAGAGGTATTGAGAAAGGCATCACCCAGCAGGTTCTACAGAGGGGACCCCACTATCCACCTGATCAGCATTCCCACTTCCCCCGTCCGACCCCCATGCGGGGCTGGAACAGGTGCCGCATACCCCAAACCCTCCGTCAGGGGACACCCGGGGCCCAGCATCGAAGCCTGCTCTGTGCCCTGTCCTGGAGGGCACAGTGGCTGCTGGTGAGGGAGAGTTAGGGATGGGGCAGGCGGCCCCCATGGCCCCCGCATTACCTGGGGCTCCGGGTGGCGGACGCAGGGTGCCCTCCTCTGTCTTCAGGCCCTGCAGCACAGGCGTCAGGGGTGCACATTAAACAGGTTTGGATCTGAGTATCTGGTAGGCCAGGCTTCGGGGTCACAGGTGTTCAGGGCCTGACTGTCCACGTGGCAGCAGAAGCAGGCAGGGAGCTCCGCCTTCCCGGCAGCCTTGGTGCGGGTGGGCTGCACGGCTCTGCCGCTCCTGGCTGGCCTTTTTAGGGGTGCCAGCAAGGCCAGGGGGAGCCCCTTCTCATCCTTCAGTCCCAGGTCTCGCTGGCAAGCCGGTCGTGTGGGTCCCTGGGTGGGGTCCAGCATGGCGAGGGGGCACTGTGCCTTCAACGGCTGTGCGTCCCACAGCAAGGCTGAGGCCTTGAGGTTGCAGACGGGCAGCGCCGGCCTCCTTGCCCTCCTCACACCGATGCCCGCCATGCAGAGGTCAGGCCCGCTGATTGGGGGCAGCTCGACCACAGGCTGAGGGGAAGGCACAGGTTGGGGGTGCTGGGGTGTAGCTGGGATGGTGGAGTCCCTGCAGGAGGGATCTGTGCAGGAGGGATTGGTCGGGGCACAGACCCCCGCCCGACTCAGGAGTGAACACCTGGGGCCCCATGCAGACCCTCAGGAGGCTCCCAGGCTCTGTAGAGCCTGTGGGGAGCCCAGGCTTCCTGAGGCTTGGGGGTCATCTAGGGGGCCCCACACCCAAGGACTGGGCTGCCCTTTTCTCCAGTTTAGCCACAAAGAGGCCTCTAGAGAGGCATCGGCCACACTTCCCGATGGCTCCAGCACGTCTCCAGACACAGGCCTCACCCCCCAGGAAGGTCCCAAGGGAAGAAGGAGGCCCCCAAAAGACCCTCAGAGTGGAAGACACTGCAGGTCAAAGCGAAGGAGCAGCACGGTGGGCCTGGAGGCTGCTGGCATGGAGCCCCCACCTCCAACATCAGTCAGGGCTGGGTGGGGCTGGGAACGAGGGAGGAAAGCTGGACGGAGCTCTGGGCTGAGCGAGCAGGGCTGCCCCACATACCTGGATGCCTGTAGCAGCTGCTTCCTCAGTGCCAATGAGGCACCGAGTCCCACAGGAGGGCAGGGCAGGCCTGGGTCACAGAGCAGGAGTCACGGAGCGGGATCAGCATCCTCCATGGACCCTCTGGGGCTGGCAGCCTGTGGCTCCACCCTCACTGAGTAATCAGGTGGCAAGGCGTTCACACGGGGGGCTGCCACTGAACCCCCCAGAGGATGGCACCCACCACCCAGGCAGGGGCAGGCAAGGCTCACCTGCCTCCACAGGAGCTTGAAGTTGCCGATGTCACAGCTGCTGTGATGGTGTCCTCCTGCACCTTCACACACACCTGGGCCGTGACAGGTGTGGACGGGTGCATGGTGGGGCTGGAGTTGATCTTGATCAGCCAGGGCCTGAAGTCCCTCCCAAGCACGAAGTCGGCCCCGCAGAGCTCAAAGCTGTTCTTACGAGGCTCCACGTGATCCTGCGCCACCATCATGATGTGGGCGATGGCTGCCTTCATGGATGGGTAGATGACGCTGCCCCATGTGGCGCCACAGCCCTGGCGCTGCAGGTACTCCTGGAACCTGGCGCTGGTCCACATGTTGTGTGCTGGCAGCAGAGGGCTGCAGCCCACGTCATTCTTCAGGTGCTTCTGGACGGCGTTGTTGCACAAGTGGATGGCACTGCGTAGGGTGAGGGGCGGGGGTCAAGGGGCAGGTGCTCAGCCTCCAGCCCAGGAAGGCGCCCAAGGCGGGTCCTCCCAGCCGTGCTGCGCCCACTCAGCTGGCTCTAGAGAACCTCGTCCCCAAGGACTCCCACGCCTGCCAGAGGAGCCCAGGCTGGGGGACTCTTCTGGCTCCCCAGCTGACAGCCCAGGACAACCCTCAGTCCAGCGGGCAGATACCATGGAATGCACTTGGGGGCAGGGCAGTTGCCCACCAGCCCAGGGCCCCCAACTAGGCGCTGCTGGCAAATAAGAGCCTCCCTGCACCTCAGTTTCCCCATCTGCATGTGGCCAGAGGGATGCTGGTGACACAGGGTGAGAAACAGTCACCTACCTAAAATTGTTAGTAATTTAGTTATACTCTTGCCCTATTTCTAAATAGGAGTTAAAACTACTAACATGGTTTAGGAGATTGCACTATGCTGTATGTACGTCAAGAGCATTTTCACTTCCATTGTAGGTGTGTTGGGCCAGGAATTTTCCACCTTGTTCATGGGGGGGAGGTGAGACCACCCATGACTGTACGTAAGTTATATTTCCACTGGGAAGTGGATGAAAAGAAAAAAGATATAGGCATGTAGAAGAGCGTTTTGGCAAAAATAGCTCATTAGGGTTCAGACCTACAGGGCTAATGCTTAACCCCTGTCTTTAATTTTTGTCAGTATGTGTCTGACCCGATGTCAGGGACCCTCCCATCACTGGGATGCATGTTTATGTCCTAGATGGAGAAGTGGCTCAGAGAGGCCCGGAGATTGGCCAGGCACATGGCACACAGCACACAGCTCTCAGCTGGAGGTCTGGGGACAGGGGCTGGAAGGGGCCCTGGCTTCCCACTGCGCAGGAGCTGCTTTTGCGCAGGTGAGTTCCTGGACCCCCTCCAGGCCCACTTGACCAGAGGCAGTAGGTGGGTGAGAGTCGAGGTCCCAGGCCAGCTCCTCCCAGGCCCTCTTCTGGGTGTGACTTCCAGTGCAACACCTGGCATGACCACAGCCCCCAGCCTGGGCCAGAGTTGAACATGCTGCAAGG